TGGTTTTATGGAACAAATATAAAAAACTCTTAAACACAAGTCATAAAACACATGTTACAACCTTTTTATGCATTGACTTTTAAGAGTCATATGCAGCAAAGGTTAGAAGTTATGTTTGGGGTAAGTCAAAACTCCTTTTCCTGTTTTCTTCTTTTCTACCCTCTGTCTTCATGAAATACTGTTGGAATCCCTTCCCCGCTAAACCATTTGGGTAAGTTAAAAAAGCCTTCTCCATTTTCTTCTTTTCCAGCTTCCTCTTCCTGAAATTTCATGCGCCAAAACCATTGTAGTAAGGTCAGCGTATGATTTCTTCAATGGCTGCAAACCTTGCACAAATGGGAGGTTCCCAAGAAGTCTTAATCGCTGCATATAAGAAGAATTTGGAGGTTTTGATTTCTCCACAGCTTCTTCAAAGCCCTAGCAATTTCTTTGAGGTATTCACTTGATCCTTCTTGTTGATAATTTTGATATTTTTTACCCATGGGATTGAATCAAATTTTGACATGATTGTTCTTTAAATTTGGTTTGTTTGTTCTTTAAATCTGTTGGAATGGTAGATTTGGGTTTAGTGATGGATTGAAATTTAGTTGTGTTTAATGATGGATTGAAAAAAACAAAAGCCCTGTTATGAATAACACAATAACCTTTTCATTTGGAACCTGGTGAAACTAAATATGATGTTGTCATGGTGGTATAGTCAAAACAAAAAGTGTTTGTATACATACCTTCCATACATAAGATGTGAAATTTAATTGTGCACTTAAACTCTAAATTAAGATATGAGTTTGGTTTAGTATATACTTATTAATAGGTCCCTTCCAGCATGTTAACAGGTTGCAATAACCCACATCAAAAATCCAGATTTCTTCATGGGTTTTCAAAATCTTGATCCTTCATTTATGTATGTGTTTGTATACATATGTAGAGTACTTATTTGATGTGTATGTCTGTGTATATGTATACACTCTATTTGAGGCATATATGTATGAGCTTTACTATGGTTCCATAATAAATGTGCAAAATCTGTAGCTAACCTGTTTATCACCTTTGTCCACTGTTAGTTTGGTCCACTAAGTTTGTACATGGTTATGTAGTGTAGGTAACTTGAACCTTACTTGATGGATAAATTGGAAAATGGTAAGGTTCAAAAAACATAATAGCTAAGCATTATTGTTGTCTGTTGATCTACTGGTTCAATAACCAAACCTACATGATTAAATACAGTTAACATAATGGATGAATGATATAAATAGATATATTCATGGCAAAAGACTACATCCGATGTTGTTTCCGTTTCATCTTATACACACACATAGAAACAAAATACTGCAGGTTTAAGAAACAGAAATAGAATGCTGTTTCCACCATCTGCAGGTTTAAGAAACAGAAACAACTTCTTTTTGTTTTAAGTGGAACACAAGGAAACATATACATTTATTTATAACTTATACATTATATGCACCTTTCTCATGATCATATACATTATCAACTCATCAAGTCCATAACATGCTAAAAAAATTAACTGGTATTTGTATGTGATTTGTAAGTCCATAACCATTACAAACATTTAAGTATAATGCCTGCACATTACATGGAGTCTTATCTGCATACTACAAACACCAAGTCAATGCTTGTGTCTGCTGTAATGCATACAGCACCCCTGTGTCTGCTGTAATGCACATATAGATCTAATAAGCAGATGCCATAACGAATACTAATCATACAACATCCCCAATGCCTGAAAGGGTACTAATCATACAGCACCCTGTAATTCATACAGCACCCCTGTGCCTGCTGTATGAATTAAGACCCAATAATGTATCATGAATGAATGAATTGCATATGGTTCCATTTCATACAGCAACAGTAGTAGTAGTAGGATAAACAATGTGCACAACTATATATACACATGAAATCCAATAGGTGTGTGTGCACAGTGTGTGCTTAACCAATACAAACCCCTGTGCCAACACTACTTCTTGAAAAACCATGACTTTAATTGTATTTGAGCTAATCTAACTCTTTGTAAACGCTGCATAATGCCTGTTTTTCTCCTAAAAGTTCACTATTTGCTAATTATAGTTTGTTGACTGAGTTTGATTGCACAGGCCTTAAGTTTGATTGCACAGTCCAGACTTCAGACAACCAATTTTCAAGGTAAATCATGCCTTTTTGTTCATTGAACCTCTTGACTTCTGGAAATCCATCTATACAGTACTGAGTGATCTGCATATCTACTTCTTTTGTTTTCTGTTTGTTTTTCTGCATAACGGTCTTTACTTGGAGCGTTGCAGTCGGCTTTCATAGACACAGAAATCATTTTCTGCATAACGGTCTTTTGTTTTCTCTTTGTTTTTCTGCATAATGTCTCCTTGATAACCATTTCTAATTAAGATCTCTAAATTAAGATATGAGTTTGGTTTAGTATATGAAGTCCTCTAATATGTTGTTGCTGCCATTTGGTTCTCTAGGTTCAGAATATGCTTTCCTTATGTGTGTGTATTTAGATCACATAAGGAGTATATCCACCTGTAGAGCAAATGGTCTATAGTCTGTCCTAAAGTACTTTTACTTAAACATTGCAAATTTAGCACTATCATTAGCTTTAGTTTTCTTTCTTTTTCTTTTGCCTGTTCACCAACTGATCATGTTTCATTCAATGTACCTGTCATTTGCAAGCTGGTCTAACCAAATATGATGTTGGAATGGTGGCTTGAGAATGTCATATAACCTGTTGTCCTGTATACATGGAGCTTCTAGATATAGATTATGCATATTTTTGCATATTATGGTCAGCTGTTGTTGCAATGCATATCTTATGGTCAGCTGCTGTTGTAATGCATACATACATACCCYTGTGTGCACATACATACCCACGTGCCTGCTGTACATCGTAGAATATAAATAGTTTAGAAGTTTAAAAAAGAATATCCATCCAGTAGAAGAAAACTTGGTGTCAATTCAACTAGGAAAAAACAAATTTTGAATTCTTGGAGATGTTGGAACTATTCAAATCCTGTAGTTTCTAGACATGAACTACTAAAGCTGGACAAAAGTGAAGATTGCACCCAAAACAACTTTATTTGCACAGCAGGTGCTTGCAAATGCAGTTTGGTTTGATTCGATATTCAAAAATCGAGTCAAATTAGGCTCTACGTCCATATATGTCTAAACGTCGTCCAACGGTCACTCTGGAAGAACCAAGTGATCTTATTTAACACCTGTAATATGTATCCAAAGTTTTATAAAGATCTGACAACAATAACTTAACCAAACTTAATTTAAACTCATTTTAGTTACTATAATTCACAGCTCAAAATCAACTTTTTATCAGTTTTTAGATGCAAATATAACCAACCTAGAAGCCTTATTTATAAAAAGTGTCTAAAAAGACAGGTTTAGAGCTACATATAAGCTTTCTAAAATGTCTAGAATCATAGCAATCCGAGCTACGGTTAAAAAATTATCGCACATTCAAAACAACATCTCGGATAGATTCGGTGCTGTCAAATTCACCAATAAATAGACTAAAATCCATATTTTGGATTCAATCTTTATTCCAACAATCAAAATACCATCTAACCATGTTTATATTACTGTTTACAAGATCAATACTCAAGAAAATAATAAAAAAGGAAGCACACACTTACAAGGATAGGAAATTGCAATAATCACTATGAATACATATTGAACAGTGGTGTAACAAAACTTAGAGGCTGTCTACCAAATGCTCTTGTAGGTCTTACAAAAAAAACTTGTCTTAATGCACCATTAAGAATCTATATTAAGATCTCAAACGTAACCTAGGTCCCGATTTCTCATAAATCTACATCGTATTCAAGTGCCAATTCTTGCAAATCCACAACACATGATGCATGTTCTGTAGAATTTGAAACTTCCAGTAGAATCTCCTAATAAGAACTTCAAATTAGCAAAGCTCCATTGGATAAACCAACAATGTCGAATGAAACCAAAACAACTTATAGTGGTTGATACTTATTCCCTTCGTTTCAAAATAAGGTATAATCAACAATTATATTATTATACATTTTGTACCATATGTTTCTATTAAAACCATTGCGCCGTTTTTTGCAGGAAATATTTACGGATGAGTGCATCACGAAAAGCAAACAACAGTTCGAATATACGGATGAACATTATTTTACGAACGATTGTATTTCTTTGTTCATTCAAGAATTTCAAGTTTTGTAATGAGCTCTGAGTAGATGGTTTCAGAAACCCGACATATGTGCAATTTTCTTTTCATTCGATTTTGCTAACAAACAAAATTGACCTTCAACTTTATATATTAGTTGACTTATAAAATAACCACACAAACTCATGATTTAAAGCCAAACTAATGTTTTCGAATTGTGATTTACCCGCGCTGCATCGTGCGGATACACCACTAGTGATCGTGCGGATACACCACTAGTGTATATATATATATACATACATACTCGAATAATGAAAAGCAATTGGGTTATTAAGGATATTTGGTTTCATAGTATTTGTATCACAAAATAAAAAGGACCTAAAAGTTTTATTTTATAATTATTCATATAACGATTTCATCCAGAAAAAAATGGTTGCATATTGTGGAGTTGTTTGGTTGGTTTTTTATTAAGGGGCCGTTTACCAAACGCTTATCGGGTAAGTTCTTACCCGTATGATCACCACTCTCACTTGCCTTATGGGGTAACATTTCTTGCAATCAAAATAGATAACCCGACAAACATTTATAACCCAGTAAGCGCTTACCGGGTAAAGGTTATCACCCTCACTTATTGGGTAAGACTCTCGATTCTTGTCTTCCCTCTTATCCGGGTAAGACTCTCGGTCCTTGTTATGTTCACCGATAAGGTAATATAGCCGGTAAGCACTTACCAAGGTAAGTGTTTAGTAAACGGCCCCTAAGTATTATATATGATGAAGTTATCTACACGAATTAATCTGTTTATATAAATTAAAAAAGTTTTTATTTCAGAGAGCATAGCAAATCAAACATATCCAAACCTCCAATTTGTTAGGTACTTCTTTTCCTATTATATGCGAGTAATACAAATATTAAATACTACAAACTGCATGCTTTATGGTGCTACAGCTTGGGGTGATAACAAGTCTCCTAAACTCCAAACCACCAATAACAAGACAGCATACAGACTTATAAGGAGTTGAAATTTATTTCAATGTGTTGGCGACATCGATAACAAAGCGATAACGGACATCAGCTTTTGCCAGACGCTCCATGGCCGTGTTGATGTAGTCTATAGGAATGAGCTCGATTGCGGCTGTGATATTGTGTTTTGCTGCAAAATCTATCATCTCTTGTGTCTCCTTTATCCCTCCAATCAAACTTCCTCCCACCAGCTTCCTCCCTGCCATGCCATGCCATCATAAAAACCTTGTTATTACTATAAACTCCCAACAATAAGCATCTTCTCATTGCTTTCTTATACTATGAGAATATGTGAAACCCCGTCAGATTACTTTCCAGAAATAACCCTTGAGACGAAAAATAAGGTTCCAACATACATTGAACAGAAATAGTTCCAAGTCTGTAGATGTGGGACTCTAACAGATTCAATTTCGTCTCTACGGTTCAATGTTGAATGATTTGGTTGGGATATATACGATTTCCGTAGTACAATAACTCCCATCTTAAAATATAACAGAACTACTAACTTGATTAAACCAATGAGAAAACAAGCAATGTCTTGAGGAAATTCCGATATGTATGTATTCATACCAAAAAGCAAAGGGAAAGCAGGTATCTCATGTGGCTTGGTTGGAGCACCAACCAAAACCAATTTTCCGTTGGGCCTTAGCAGACCGATCAAAGGCACCAGAGGGTGGTCAGCCGAAACGGTGTCAATGATACCATCCATTGTACCCACAGCACCCTGTACAAACAGTAAAACAAACCAAATTATATACATCAAATCGTTTTGCAAAGTTTTGACTATAAAAAATGATCAGTACTACATAATTAGCAACAGAAGTCAAAGGTTTGACCTCAAAAATGGAGGGAGTAGTTGCATTATTCAATAGTCATAGGCCATGGTTGGCAAAATAGCTATAAGTTGGCTGATAAGCTACTCGCTTTTGGCTAAAACTATCGGATAAGTTAGATGACAATATAAAATGAATTATGGGCATAAGTGAAAGAAGTGGAAAAAACCTATGAAGCTTGTTGAAACGTTACCTCAAGTAGCATTGCGTTTCAAGAAGCTAGCTTATAAGCTAGTTTATGGCTCACAGAACGAGGTTTTTTCAACAAACTAAAAAAAATAAGCTTAAATGGTCATAGATGTTTACCTGCATCTGGGCTTGTTCATGGCTGACCAAGAACAAATCAGCACCAAGATTACTAATCGCTTCTTCCTTTTTCTTAGGGTTAGTGCTTATCACAGTAACCTTAACACCAAGAGCTTTAAGAAACTTGACAGCTACATGACCTAATCCACCAAGACCCACAACACCAACATGCATTCCAGGCTTATCAAGCCCATAGTATCGCATTGGGCTGTAAACAGTAATCCCAGCACATAGAAGAGGCGCACCACCATCAAGTGGAAGGTTTTCCGGCCAAGAGATGATGAAGTGTTCATTGGCAACCATATGATCAGAATAACCACCATAGGTTGTCATAGTGGCGTCATTGTAGGTCTGTACCATTTTTAGGCAGTATTGCTCTTGATCAGAAGCACATTGATCGCATGAATGGCAAGATCCAACCATACAGCCCACCCCAACTTTGTCTCCTACTTTAACCTTTTTAACCTTGCTGCCCACCTCCGTCACCACACCCACAATCTCATGGCTGCAATCAAGAAACTTTATAAGCACTCTGCTGGCTATACTTCCAAAAAGTAATGGTTTGGAGACCAGGGTTGGGTTGGGTTCAGGTGAGAATGGAAGTTATGGTGAGAAGGGTAAAAAGGGATCTCCACCCTTGGATCAATCATAATTGAAGAGAACCACTAGATCAAAACTAATACACCAAATCAATCCCTTCTAAAGCACAATTCATGGGTTGTTTTGGATTAAAAATGATCAAGGGTCCAAATCCCTTCTTACCCTTCTCATTTTAACTCCTATTCTCAATGATCCTTCGTCTTGGAGACCAAAGGGTCATTGATCAAAATTAAATCATGAAGAAATGTTATGAGTAACATATTAACAGAAGGATTACCCAGGGATCACGGGGTACTTAGCATTGGACCATTCATTCTTGACAGAGTGAAGATCAGAGTGACAGACCCCACAATACGACACTTTGAACCTCACATCTTCATCTCCCGTTTCCCTAAATTAAATCATCATTCACCAGAAGATTGAAATAGAGTTAGAAGGAAAATGTAAATATCCAAGGTGACTGCTACAATTAAAGGCGGATCTGGGAATTTTTCAAAATATAAGACACGAAGCTATGCATATTTTTCAAAAAATCATCATTCGTTTGTTGGTTAATTTCTTAGTTTTCTTGAGATTTTGTGTTCTAGGCTTTTTAGCGTAATTTTTTTCAAAAACATAATAAACTTGAAATTAACGGCTAAAAACTAAGAACAAGATTGAAACAGGATTCAAACAGGCGCCTGGGAAGGGACACAAGTCGCCCAATCCACCTCTACCATGATAAACTTACGTTATTACCGTAGTTTCAAAATATATACGGTGGTACCCAAAATTACAATAAGATTATACCTTTCACGAGCCTAAAGTCTTTTAGCTTATGACGAGGAATATAGTGGTGGCCTGTGCCACCGTATCTAATGAACTGGGGCCGCCCCCTGGCTACAATTATAATTAATTGGTTTTTAAGAACATTGTTTAAATTCTCATACGTGCGATTCCACATAAACTCAAAGTATAATGTAATCCCTAACGCAAACATTGTTCACATCGTCAATATGAAAATTCCTAAATCGAACATAAATGTCATTCAAAAACTATTTACATTAAAATTGTATACACAACAATGCAACCAAACACAACCATTTGATAATCGATAGCAACTTACCCAAATCAAAAAACTGCTTCATCTGCAGAAACATCTCGACATTCGAATGTCGAAATAAAACAATATGATAATAATAATAATAATAATAATACCACCATGTCAACAACACATAGGTCAAATTACTTGGAATACGTAGAGAGGATAAAGGCTTTCCGGTGTAAGCCAAAAGATATCCTGATCAATCTTGAAATTAAAAGTAAAAAATTCGATTAAACCATCGCCGATTGCTTATGAGATCCGTGTTGTTGTATTCTGCTAAATCGTATGAATAAAAAACTCGTCCATTACGATTTAGAATCGTATAAAAAGGAAGAATGAAATCATACCTCCTGGAAAAGTTAATGGGGGAGAGTACGCCGGAAATGTCTCTGGCAGCGTAGCCCAAGGCCTTCACAGGATGCTCGGTCTCCGGTAGACTCCCCATCGGCGATCACTGCAAATGCAAATACAAATGTGAGTTTTATTAGTGATTTGGTGGAGAAATGGCACAGCGTGTGTTAATAGAGGTTGTCGTATGGTAATTGCTAACTGACACGTATGATGTTGTAAAATGATGTGATTTTTTAATTAAATTCATCATCTTCTATAATAATAATAATAATAATAATAATAATAATAATAATAAACGGTTTATATTCATCAAAAAATTAGTGGACTTCAATTTATGTTCCTTGACATTAGTGAATTTTTTGAAAGTGGAACTGGAATTTAATAAGTATAGATGTCGTCCATCATATTCAGATTTTGCTTTGAAAATGGAATCTTATCATTAAAATGTTTGTTAAAACCAGAAGTATTTTCGTCCAACCATGTTTTTGCAATTATTTTTTGTTTTTCTTAATTTTATAAAACAATCAAACTCTAGGGCGAACTATGTAATTATATATATATATATATATATATATATGTGGAGAGAGAGAAAGAGAACGTGCTTAATCAAATGAAAACTAATTAGTTTGTGGTAACTATGAGGTTTAATATAAGCCAATCATTTTATTATATTAATTACATTACCATAATTAAGAAAAAAGTGTATCAGTAATTTTATTAATATTTTTTTAAAGGTTATCAATCAAAGAGATTGATAATGTTTTCTTATTAATCAAACAAATTATGAAAGTTTCTTTATCTGAAGTTACAATTAAGAAAATAAATATATAATTTTTTACTGTTAAAAGTTATTGGGTATCACACTGACAACATAGTGGTATCACAGTTGTATTCATCAACCAGATCTGGTATCATAGTGTGTATCACAGTGTATTTTTGTCGTTATACGAAGTGTATCACAATATATTTTTGTTGTTTTACGAAGTGGAACACAATATATCAGGTAACGTTTTCTTTATCAAGTGTATCGCACTGTGCTTTTTCGTTATCTATACTATATTATAATGCATTTGGCTAAAACTCTTAAATACTCTTAAACTCTTAAAACTCTTAAACCCGTTCATCCCTATCCGATTTCATCCCATAACT